TGTGTGAAACAAAAGGCCTTCTTACCTCAGGTCTGTTTTTAGTTGTGAAATGATGTTCCGGACCAGACGCTAAGCAACAAGAGAACACCCGCCTAGGAGCTTTAAATGTGGTTTATCATCACATAGAGCTCTTTTTCTATATGGTCTGGGTAGAAAATGGGGCATATGAACCCCATGGGGTGAAATCGTTTCCACTAGTAGGTCTGAACTCTAGAATAAGATCAGCGAGGCTTTAACTGGTGCAAGTGGAGTTTTTTTTTAACGAAACCAGTTTTGAAGAAGACATTCTTCATATGCATTAAAACCTTGATTTGTGTTGCTGTCACATTGGCATATTCTGTTCACTCACCACTCCCTACTCAAACTGATTTCACGCGTTTCCTTGGGCAACAGGAACATTTCCGTCTTCATCAACTGTAGGAGCAAAAGCAAATACGCATTTTCCTAAACGCCTGTTTAATTCTGAACCAGTGTAACAAACTGCCATGGAAGTAAAGCTAAAGTACCGCAGAACAACATCATATATTATTATAATGTTCAGATCTTTAACTGCTCTGTTGCTTATTCCACTCAGATGTGATTCAAATTAGCATGCTAAGTGAGTCAGGAAAGAAAAGGTATGCAATTGTTTAAACATTATCTCTTGATTCTAACCACCCCTGTTCCATTTCCTGAGAATATGTTTATTTTAAGTGAATAATTTTACATATATTTGGTTCACTTTTAATCAAATGTGAATGAACAAGCAACGTATGCACCCTCTATATGAAGGTGTTGATTTTCCAACAGTTAAACAATATTTGTGTTACAAGAGTGAGAAATGATAGATGTGTGTAAGTTTACAGTTCCATCTAATGTTGTCAAAAAAATCAATACCTAGATATAAATCGATAGTAAAAGTGGTATCTAAATTAGATATTCCATCCCTGTGGTATCGATATTATCAATCAATCAATCAATCAAATTTTATTTGTATAGCACCTTCTACAACATTATCCGAAGCCCAAGGTGCTGAACAACATCATTAAAAGAAAAACATTCCCAGTAAATGGGCATAAAAGCAGGATAAAAACATAAAATCATAAAATATCAAGCAACCACTATTACAGATGAGAGATATCGGAATAAGACTAATCGATAAAAAAACAAATGTCAAATGTATTATGGAGACTCGCATATACACAGCCTTCTTCAAGTACATCGACACGCATGACAGCGTATTTAGATCCATCGGCGAATCGCCATCAGTGTATATCCATATAACGGGTGCGGACGGGCACCCATGGTGCAGCCTTGAAATAAGACATTATCTGCACCAAAACATCTTCATGTCAAAAGGTTTTGTTAGGAATCATTAACGTGATTCTCCCTGTTCGTTTGGAGCGGGTCTGGGATTTCTAGGCGTGAACAGACTAGCCGCGGCTAATCTAACCGGCGCTTTTAATGACGTCACTGCCGTGCGCCAGTCTGTTTTTATTAAGATTAGATGTACCTTTGTCCTACTGTGGAGAAATTCGTTTTCTCCCTTTATTGACCAACAGAGTTGTTCAAAAGTACAGAACAAAACATATGGCATTACATCTTATGACAAAAATGCACCTTAAACAGAGTTTAAGCAGCAAAACATCCCTCTGCAAATAGTGTATGTATAGTGAGACAATTCATGATTTAAAGTGTTAACTTTCACCAGTTTTTGTATGCACGTTTTAAAAAACGCTGATACTTGAAAGGTTTAAGCACTTTATACACTTAATTCTTAACATTTAATTTTTGCAATATAAATTGAGGAATGTTATTTTTTGAATAAACTTGTTCAATAAATTGGTGTTTTTAAATAGTATCGAAATCGAGTATCGAGTTTTTTTTACCAGTATCGAATCGAGTTTGAAATTTTAGTATCGTGACAACCCCAGTTCCATCCAGATGTTCCACCACCTAACAGCTGTTCATCTTCAGGGGCCTGACGGCGTTTTCGGGTTCAGAGGTCAACACGCTGTTTACTTGATGAGACTTATGTTGTAAACACGTTCAGCTCCCATCCCGACCAGCTCGGGTACACCTTTATGACGCGCTGCTCCTGATTTTACCTGAGGCAGCCGACACGATGACTCAAGACACAAAGAATGACCCGACTTTAATCGCACGATAAAAAAAGGATATATCCGTTTGAAACGTGGCAAACAGAAAAGTGTTTCTGTAAAAATCACTTCACCGAGACGAGAGCCAGGTGAAGCTGACTGAAAGACAAGTTTTCGTTTTGTTTGCTAACTCTTCCAGTGAAGCGCGGAAACGCCCCGAAACTTTAAAACAACCCTAAAGCGAGTCTGGTGTAAAACGTATTTGTAACTTCATCAGTAACGTGTAAAAGCAGGGATACAAGTGTGGCTAGGTGAAGACTTACCGAGCGGTTCAACCGTCGCTTTGTGGGGTCGCGCTGGGACATGAAGTCGGCTGGGTGTTTTAAAAACCGCTCCCAGGTGAAGAAACCGAGAGGAAACCCGTTCAGATGTTTAAACTAGAACCAACACACGGGTCTGCGGTGAACTACATGCTGCTCCCAGAGGAATAACCCGACTATTGAATCCCGAACACTGATGAACTACATGGCATCGGAACTAAAGTGACAAGTTAGCTCGACTAAAGGACACAACATCCGGCTGGATTTCAAAATAAATCACAAGCGTAATCAGTTTCCGTTTATTTTTTTAACAACGAGAAAGCACGTTTATTAAGAATGCACTTTGTTCCAAATCGTGGCGCAGTTTCATTAGCAAATGTGTTTGTTCCCAAACTAATTGAAAATAAACCCTTTTACTTTTGGGACATTGGACGTAACACGGAGGAGCTTTTATTTTGAATGCTTGCTGGCTTGTCCCAACTTTAACTTCGCATTTCCTGTTACTGGAGCTGGCACGGCACGAAAAGGACATTCACACAAGCATTAAAACTTTCTAAATCCTAAATCATTTGGCCAATTTATGAAAGTGATAACTTCGAAATAATAATAATATAAAGCATCCTAACATTTACAGCGATTTGTGTTTTGGGGTGGTTAGTGTTTAGTTTGACAGCAGCTGGCATAACCCTAGACAAGAGATTATTATTACACTGCAGGGCTCTGAAATAATATGAGACTTAAACTATTATTGCAATTGAAAGGCAGCGTACCCACGTGGCAAAATAAAGAAAATGATTTTCATGAATATTATGTAATGTTTGAATGGAAGGTAGGGATACGCGCTCTAAAAACAGACGAGATTAAGCGACTGTTGCAGTGGTGTGATCCTCAGGGACACTGTGAACAATTATGGCTGAATAACAAAAGCATTATAAGTCAAACGAGAAATAACAGCCGGGTTTTGTTAATAAAAAATCGTTTTGAATCGTTAAACGGTACAGAAGTTCTTCAAATGAGGGTGAGTTGCAGCATGCTTCCATCTAGTGGCAAGAAGAAAGTAGGCTACACAAGAGGAGCTGGGGTTAGGTGCCAGTTTCAGAGAGGAGAAGATCCCGCAGAGAATCTGAAGCACCGTACAGCTTAGCAGCTAAACACACTCCTGAGTCCTGACCCAGCTGACTGAATGGATCTGCTTGTCCAGCTCCATCAGAATGAATATATAGATGGAGGCACTGCAGGAAGAAGATGATTAATATCCAGAGATGATCTGTTTTTAATGGGGAAAAAACCTCAGGTCTCTACACTACGGCAATCCACCTACTCGCGTTCACACAATGATGGTGATGAGCTACAACATAGCCACAGCTGTCCTGGAACACTGATGCTCAGGCTCCACCAGTGCCTCCGACCACCGCCAGCAGGCAAGGAGAGGGAAGTGCCCTGCCCAATGACACATCAACTGACATGGTTGGAGCCTGGATTCAAACCAGCAACTCACCACGCCGAAGGCCTCTTCCACGTCTCTGGATTTAACATTCATTTGGGGCTGTGAGAGCTTAGTTTTAGGATGAATGATGACCTTACAGTGTGCTGCAGTGCTGGAACCCAAGTTCTTTCTCTTTTATTCGTGGTTTTTAGGGGTGGAAGGTTCCCATACTAGATTACTGCCTATGTGTAAAAACATGCACCTTGTTATTACTTGTCTGTGTTGGTGCGGCTGTAAGAAGTGGATTTCCCCACTGTGGGGTCAACAGTCTGTTCTACTCTTCTGTTCAACACCAACCTCTGTGCTCCAGGTTGACTTCTTTCCTTTAGAGATAATTTTCTAGCATCAGATGTAACTTTTCTAGTGTGATTGTGTGGTTTATTAAAAGCTGTATTTTCACCATCACTGTTTAAAAAAATTAATAATGAATGTAATAACATTTTTATTTTAAATTAAAACTCAGGATCTGACTGTTTTTTAGAGTAAAACAGGAAAAAGTGTTTGCTAAATACGGGCCAGGAAGGACTTCCTGTCTTCTACTCCTGAGCCTCCAGCAACCCCAGAGCACATACCCACCTGTCATTATGAAACTAAACCTTTTTCAGAAAGACGTCACCACATGCCTGACAAAACCAGTAGCAAGGAGTTTTGAACTGATTTAGCTGCAATCACACCGTAGAGCACATCTGCACAGTTCCTCATCACGCTGCATGGAAACTTCAGCGAATACTTTCTGGGTTTTGATGACACTTGTCAGCTTCTCCAGTTTGCATCAGCCATCCCAGAATATTTCACTTTACTGAGTTAACAGTAGCTGATTACCAAACCTATTTCCAGACAGTTGTGCAGGAAAGCCACGTGTCTCTGAATGTTCCGTTTCACCTCACTGATGGAAGGTTTAACACCGGATGTGATGCAGTGATCTCTACGGGTGTCTGCAGAATTTTCTCATTATTATGAGGCTGGAAATGTTATTTTTTCAATTAAAGAACTGGATAACCACAAAGCAGCATTTAGTTTTCATAAGGACATGTTTACACACTGCCTGGTCAAAATAGGTCACACACATCAATATCTCATTATAAATGTATGGTAAAAGATTCACACACACACCTGTTTGTAGTAATAATGGCTTTATTTCTCAAAGCAAAGCTGATCTGAATTTTAAAATGACAAATTGTACACTTTTAAAATCTTATTAGAAAACAAAAGTCAGTCTAGGACAATTTTTTTCCTCCAAACGACCAACATAAGGGTTGAGGTGGAGGAAACAGTTGCAGCAATACTTTCTCATTACAGATTTTTCCTCGTCTACCTCCACAAAAACACCTCCCTTTACTAGAGTGGGTAGTACAAAAGATCAACAGAAACGCATCCTGCAGCTTCAAACCACCGTGTTACACATGTATGAAATAATAAATCATAACCTGAGCAAGAATCAGAGACGACACAAATGCCACCGCAATTCATGGGTTAACGATCGAAGGCCTCTATTAGTAAAACTGACGTCACGTCAAATGTTTAGGATTCAGGAATAAAACATAAAAACAGGCAGAATGAAAGAATTATGTGTGACTAAAGCAATAAACAGCAGAGTGAAATGCTGAACACCACTCTAATGTTTTAGTTACTACCAACTTAACAACTAGAGCAGGAAAATGTATTAGAGCAGCTTCCTGGTGACATCAGTCGCTCTCAGGTTACAATTTTTGGCGAATAACGAGGTTGGAATAAAAAATAACACCATCAGGAGGGAAATTCCTCCTGTAGAAGACATGTACAGTACGCTCACTTGGTCAGTGTGTCTGTTTTATGTTACGCTGAGGCATGGCCCTAAATACATCTCATGCATTCGCTCTGTACAGTTGCAATGATTAACCTTTGACCTGCTGGTCCAACATCGCCCCCGGGCCGCTCTCGAGACAGTGATGCAGGTGTGTTGGAGTCAGAGACTCGTGGATCAGACGGCTTAAACTTTGTCACCTGTGCAAACATGGAAAAAGAGGTTTAGACACTAGAAGGCAGATCTGCGTCGTGTCAGGGTGCTGAACCTACTGCTGGGAACTGCCGTTTGCTGTTCGCCGCTTCGGAGTTGCAGGTAGATGGTGTAGGTGTCATATGCATAAATGATGCCCGCAAACAAACCAAAGACCTATAAACACACACACACACACACACACACACACACACACACACACACACACACACACACACACACACACACACACACACACCTTAAAGGAGGTAAATGGAACACAAAAACCAAAGAAACATCTAGTGTGTACAGGTTGCAGTTGCAACAACAGAACGAGGTTTCCAGCCATCAGGAAAACCAGGTTCGCTGACGCTACGTGAAATGTTTTATTTGGGTCCATCTGTTGTAGGCTCCACCTTAACTTTTTCTGGTTTTAGATCTTTTACGGTCGCTCCTCTTCTGAAAAGAATAACGACATCTTCTGGGTTCAGAAGCAGCTGCTTGACTTGCCGAGTGCGCCATCTTCCACAGTGCCAGCCTCGCTGTGCCGAACGGACCATAGACATGAATACGTAGACTATACGTAGAGTTGTGCCTTTTCGGCGCTCGGACCAAGTCTTTGGAATGAGCTGCCAGCCGACGTAAAGCAGGCCAAATCACTGGAGACCGTTAAAAGCCGACTGAAAGCACATCTGTTCTCGTTGGCGTTTGGACACTGAAGCTGGGATTGCATGAGCAGCATCACTTTGAATGTGTCTGGATCTGATTCTGGAACAAGGACTGATATGGATTGCGAACTTGTACTCGGGATTTCTTATTGTATTTTAAATGGTTATATGTCTGTTTTATTGTTGTGCTTGTTATTGGTGTACAGCGCTTTGTTTGTCCGGTTTGGGCATGTGAAAGCGCTTTATAAATAAAGTTGATTTGATTTTGATTTGAAATCACGAGATACATGTGCATAGATCCATTTACACACACACAAATCTAGATACACACACATAGATCTTTTGAGACTTTTTTCTCCCCATAGTGGACCCCCCATTGGGCGCTGGAGAGCGTAACAGCCATATTGGATGGGTCTCCTCACTCCAAACTTAGCTGGGTGAGCAACTATGCCGGGTTCTGTGCAGCCTATGGTTGCAACAACCAGCATACAAATAAAAGATCACGTGGGATCACTAGTGACTTTTCTAGCCTTCCCGAGAGGATTTTAAATATTTATTTCGTTTTATATTAAAATGTTTATTTATCAGGTTATACCATGTGTCTGACTTTGTGAAAAAGTTTGATAAAATGTGCTTTTTAGTTGAGTAAGCACCATCCTCAGTAGAAATGAATGCACTGGGGGCAAATGGAGACCCATCTAAGATGGCGGCCAGCAACTACAGCAGCTCCAATAGGCAGCAGCAGTCGACGGGGCGTCTACATATTTGTGTCTGTGGAGCGTACGGTTTGGTAACCCACAACGGTGCGCTCTATTGGCTGGTAGATGTAAACATAAAACCAGTGTGGTGCCCATCCAAATACATATTTATTCCTTTAATTAAAAGTGAGCTTTTAAAGAAAATGCTGTACCTTCATTCTGCACACCTGTAAACGACCAGTGGAGGCATTCTTTTTTAAATATAGCTTTTTATTAAACTGTTCCATATATCTGTACAAAGCATATTATGGAGTTCTTTGCACAGAATCCCCCTCACATGTTTATCTCAGCAACTTTATTCTTCAAAAGTTTGAGTCGTTTCAGGGCTCTGTCACTTTAAGAAAGCAAGCCGCTTCTGGCCAATCCCTGATTGGCTGCTATGAAGTGAGTGGCTCAGATATTTGGGAGGGGCTTGGAGTAGAACTGCTGCTCCAGTGTGAACAGTAGAGGGGATATTCTATGAAATTGTTCCTTATTGTGACATCACAATTTACTTACTCCTGCTGCGATGAGAGGCCCATCCCCGGCTCCTCGAATGACACAGACCAGGGACGTGATGAGGTAAAGGAGGCAACCAACAGAAGCTCGAAACATGTCCTGAACATGCAACAGAGGAGGCAGATCAGGCATCGGGTAACGTTGTAGTTAAACATGTGCATGTGTACTCTTGTGGAGAACTCACACTCCAGACCCAGTGGACTACGTGGAACCTCTTGTCCAGCTCCATCATAAAGACCACAAAGAAGATTATGGCGAAGACCATCTCACAGATGGCTACGCCGGAGTAGCCGCCGTAATTGGACGAAAGATAACAGATCATGATTACGAAACCAAGGACCTGGGAAAAAAACAAGATGAAGAAATAAATCATTAACAAAATATTTGGCATGTAGGAGTTTTCGGTTTATCAGAAGCTTTAACCCTCCCACTGTCTTAACGGGTGTGACCCCGCGAGGAAAGTTGACCATTGAGCAGGGTTGATGGTTTGTCCCTTGAGGTCCACGTTGTGACAGAAGCAGGTGTAACTAAGGGATCTAATCGAGGTGCCAGCCAGGTCTCTCTCCTGACACATAAGAAATAAATACAATTATCAACAATTTTCCCTTGCAACACTCACCGACTTCACAACACAAAGGATGTAAACAATTTGCAGTGCTTATCACCCTAACCTGGACTGAAACAAACAAACCCAAATAATCACATACGCATAAGGCAAAAGCGGGTGTGTATTAAATCCACAACATGTATGGAAAGGTCTGAGAGTCACGTTCGGTTTAGTTCAGTTCAGATAAATTCAGTTCAGTTCAGTAAAAAAAATACCAAAAGAAAAATTTACGTCCATAATCCACTCGGCAAAAAAAACAACAACAAAAAACTAGGATTATCGTTTTAGGTTCAGTCTACAGCAGATGCAGCTGTTTACTCGCGGTACCACTGAGGACCCGACAGGCCGCTGCTTCGGCGGTTCACCAGAACACACGCTCCCAGCTTCCTCCTTCAGCACGTCACATAAGTCCGCTAGCCTCTCCCTCGTCGTTGGTGCGATACTCCTTAGTCCATAACACCGCTTGGAAGCGTCCGATCGAACAATAAAACAATACTTAACGTGATACGGCCTTTCTCTTAGGTCACAGAAATCAGCAACAAACAAAGACAATGACCTCCGAACTGTGTTTCACACATATACATAATTTATCAAGTTCAACCCAAGCCGATAGGCACCAGGCTACAGACATGGGCTGTTACAACGTGGCAGGGGTGAGGAGTGAGCACCACCTCACCCCTGCCACGTGGACCTCAAGGGATAAACCATCAACCCTGCTCCATGATCAACTTTCCTCGCGGGGTCACCCATGAAGACAGTGGGAGGGTTAAACACTTTCTTCGTCCTTGGGCTGTGCAATTCATTAAATTTGAATTTAAATTTTTATTTCAACCTCAAATGATTGTAAAAACCAAGCAACGAACAACTAAATATTAATTATTACAACATTTCTGCCACTTCCTGTTTAGCGGGTGTGCCGCTTGTCGTGACAAACATTTCCTCTACTGAGAGCTAACCTCATGGGAGTAGAGGTGGCAGAACGAGGGCAAAATACACCGCAGCACATGCTCTGTGGAATGGTGTTCATGTTTGTTCCACGTGGTGCCATTTAAACCCGCACAATGTTACGTCGAGCATCGGCGATAGTCACATCGCAGGTCCAGCTGAGATGTCGAAGGCAAATGAGCTCAACGTGTTCCTCTCTAATGCTACAGGTACCCGACACGCAGCCACCCACCAATCACAATCATTCTGAATCAGCTTGCAGAAGCAGAGGACAAGGGGCTTGGGTTTGTGGTATATCATTTTCTGAATATATTGGCTATTTGATACATGAACAAAGTATTTATTTCCAATTTAAAATAATAATAAAAAAGGATGGAAACAGGGATCGGAATGAACGATCCAGACGGCGCAGCTGCAGCATCACAAACCGTCATTGAGCTGTGAGACTGGGTTAGGGTTAGAGAGTGTTTGTCCATGTGGCGAGGGCCGCTCAGGAACGCTCCCGTGACCCCCTTGGTGGCCCTCTCAGTGTGAACAAGAAACCGCGATGGACAAACAAGACATGATGTTCGATGGGACCAGGTGCTGGACCTGAGCCTTCCTGCTAGAAGCATGCAAGAGTTGCAGAAGCTTTGAGATGCACGGAACGTGCGTCACCCCGCTAACACCTGAAAACCACAGCGGGGCTGACGTCATCTGTCCTAAAATGTTTTTGACATGTTCTGCACCTTTGTATGCGTAAACTTGACTTCACCTAGATCTAATCTCAGAATGTGGTTACACACCAGGGTTTCTGCAGGAATCAGCAAAACAAACTTAAAGCTTTTTAATGCCATTTTTAACCTTTTTAATGCCATAAAATCATGAGAATCCACGGATATATATGTACATAAAAAAATCCTCTGAGAACTCAATGTACAGTAATCCCTCGCTACTTCGCGGTTCGTTCATCGCGGATTCGCTGCTTCGCGGATTTTTTCTTTGGAGCATTTTTCAGGGGGAATTCGCAGATTCGCTGTATTGTTCACTGATTCGCGGTATTTTTCTATGCGAAATATCAAGAAATTCTTGTTTTTTTCATCAATTTCATCATAAAATGCACTTTTTTTTAATAAAACTAAAAAAACCAAGTAAAAATATTTTTTTCTTGAGTTTTATCCACAAAAAGAGAATGTGATCATACGATAATTCAGTATAGTACTGTATGTCAGACAGGTCGGCTTGATTCGGGAGCTGAGCTTGCAGGAAGCGTGGTTTCACAGACGCGGAAGTGATAGTGTCGGTGAAACGCCGGCTGATCTAGGAAACCCCGAGCGTTCGAGCGTCAACGAAGTGACACGGAAATGCCGGGCTTTCCAGAAGTAAGTAAGATAACTTACTATGAGCTGATAGTTCGTTGGATTGATCGGTAGGTTGGAAACTCTGATCGTGAATCTGAAGAAACGATGACTGAGTGGTGAGCAGGAAAGGCGACTTCCGTTTATAGCCGCGGTTTGTGACGTAGGTGCGACGTGGAGGGAATCCCCGCGAGGGGCATGCTGGGAGTCCCTACTTCGCGGATTTTCACCTATCGCGGCCAGGTCTGGAACGCATCTACCGCGATAAACGAGGGATCACTGTATTCGAATGTACCGAGATAAAAAACAAAAAAAATGTATGCCTGGAACATAGCAAATACATAGTTGTATGGATGCTACAACATTTTTTTCCACACACAACAGGATTAATGCATGACCCTTAGCTCATTAGTTTTTGATTCCAGCTCTGACTCAACATTTTTCAGTTCACTGCATTTGTCCCTGTATCTCTTCCTTAGGGTATTAGATTTTGTTGTCATTTGAGCCATGAGCGTGCTCGGTTTGTTTTCTGCCTGTTCAGCTAGTTGATCAGCATTCTTCTGAAGGCTGACACACAAGCTCCAACTTGGTCACAGACTAGTCTTTGGGCCTCAACAGTTTCTTCTTTTATGTTGCAAGCCTCTACTTCCCTGTTCACAGAGAAGCCTCTCTCTACTGTAGCTTGCCCACGAGATAGGAGCAACAGGCGCTGAAGGAAACTCCAGAGCTCAGGATAAGTCTGGTTGAGAGCGTCACGAAGAAAAACATCAGGTCTTTGCTCCATGGGTTTGAAAGAGAGGAGCTCCTCACTTTTGCCATGCAGAGAGAGAAAGCTGTCAAACTGTTGCACAGCAGTATCACCTGCAACAAGCAAACACAAAAGCAGTAATTAAATCTAATCCACTTAAATGGAGGGACATTTATTCAGACATCACATTGGTACAGGATGTGTAAACTTTTTGTGTTTATGTGTGTGTGTGTGTGTGTGTGTGTGTATATATATATATATATATATATATATATATATATATATATATATATATATATATATATATATATATATATACACACACACAGTTGTGGTCAGAAGTTTACATACACTTGTAAAAAATATAATATAATGGCTCTACTGAGTGTCCCGTTATTTCTAAAACTCTGATTTTTCTCTGATAGAGTGATTGGAACAGATACTTCTTTGTCACAAAAACATTCATGAAGTTTGGTTCTTTAATGTCTTTATTATGGGTTAACAGAGAAAAGTGATCACATCTGCTGGGTCACAAATATACATACAGCAACATGATCTTTGGTGACTTAGAAACGTGTCAGTGAACTGAGCTTCATAGCATGGCCTCTTAACTTCTTGTGAGTGATTATGAGTGACTACAGCGGGTGACTTCTCTTAGGCCAGGTAAATAGGGCTCATCGGATACAAACGCCCACAAACGCTACAATGGGAAAGTCAAAGGAGCTCAGCATGGATCTGAAAAAGCGAATTATTGACTTGAACAAGTCAGGAAAGTCACTTGGGGCCATTTCAAAGCAGCTACAGGTCCCAAGAGCAACAGTGCAAACAATTGTTTGTAAGTATAAGGTGCATGGCACTGTTTCATCACTGCCAAGATCAGGAAGAAAACGCAAGCTATCACCTGCTGCTGAGAGAAAATTGGTCAGGAGGGTAAAGAGTGAACCAAGAATCACCAAAAAGCAGATCTGCCAAGAATTAGAAGCTGCTGGAACACAGGTGTCATTGTCCACAGTCAAACGTGTTTTGCATCTCCATGGACTGAGAGGCTGCCGTGCAAGAAGGAAGCCCTTGCTCCAAAAGCGGCACCTTAAGGCTCGACTGAAGTTTGCTGCTGATCACATGGACAAAGATAAGACCTTCTGGAGGAAAGTTCTGTGGTCAGACGAAACATAAATCGAGCTTTTTGGCCACAATGCCCAGCAATATGTTTGGAGGAGAAAAGGTGAGGCCTTTAACCCCAAGAACACCATGCCTACAGTCAAGCATGGTGGTGGGAATATTATGCTGTGGGGCTGTTTTGCTGCCAATGGAACTGGTGTTTACAGAGAGTAAATGGGATAATGAAGAAGGAGGATTACCTTCACATTCTTCAACATAACCTAAAATCATGAGCACGAAGGTTGGGTCTTGGGCGCAGTTGGGTGTTCCAACAGGACAATGACCCCAAACACACATCAAAAGTGGTAAAGGAATGGCTAAATCAGGCTAGAATAAGGGTTTTAGAATGGCCTTCCCAAAGTCCTGACTTAAACCCCATTGAAAACATGTGGACAGTGCTGAAGAAACAAGTCCATGTCAGAAAGCCATCAAATTTAACTGAACTTCACCAATTCTGTCAAGAGGAGTGGTCAAAGATTCAACCAGAAGCTTGTGGATGGCTACCAAAAGCGCCTAATTGAAGTGAAAATGGCTAAGGGACATGT